AATTTAGTTTAAACTTGTGTTGGAGAAATTTAGTTCAAGAGATTCACATGTAGATTTTGAGCAGATACTATATGAACATATGATCGCGACTGTAAGAATCTCAAGTATCGATATTTTAACTCATATAGACAAAGAAAATATAGTATGATGCAAAAATAAAATCTGATGAAAAATTATAAGAATTCGTAAAGTTTATATAGCATAAAGCTTTCCCAAGCTTTGCATATAGTATATATGATTATTCTCATCATCTTTTTCTAGATAGATAATGTGAAATCATGGACTAAACATTAATCAAGGATAATCAAAGTTTTTCTATGGTTGAAAATATAGATATAAGAGGATTAATTATATCTTGTTAGTTTTAATTTAGACAAATTTGCAGAAGAAATATAAATCAAAATAGGCAAACAGTTTTACCAAACAGGTTTAATTTCACAAGTTTTTAATTACTAACTGTTATTTCGTATTGTAGTTTTTGAATCTATCAGTTTAAGGTGGTTATTCCAACAAGATCAATAGAGGAAAGTTACATCATCTTTTAGGAGCTAAAAATGAACACAATAGTCTTTAGTCATAACAATAATTATAACAGCAGAAAGAATATATTTTTATTTAAGTTGATAAATGGAGTACCTGTAAAAAGATAAACTTTTAACTAACCTGCTATTATAGGAGAAAATATTTTCAATTTCCGCAAAAGAACAGGAACATAAGGCATCCACATAGCAACATCAAAAGCTTGCAAAACACGGCATACAGTGGCAACATCAAAAGAGTGCAAAAAATGACTATTTCAAGAATCACAACAAAAGTGTTCCAATTGCAATTCAAAACAATCAAAGATAATGTGTCTAGACACTGAATTGAATTAAAGAAAATAAATACAAAGAGAAGTAAATCCTATTTATATTAGTCAATTGGAAAGATGAACTTTTAAACAATGTACAAAATAATTCAAATACCTTTTAATTCTTTTTCATGGGAGGATTTTTCATTGCCATGCTTGGATATTCTTTTTCCCCTGAACTAAGATGTTCAATTGTGCGCTTTTTCGCATCTGTAATATTGACTGTCGTAGATGCCATTGATTTATGAATCACATCTTGTTTCTCCAGGTAAGACAAAATGGATAATTTTTGCGTTGCATCCAATTTTTTTGTGAATAGCCTTTTTATTTGAATGTTAAATATCTTGCCGTTCAATTCATCTTCCACATTTTGGAGGGATAATGTTTCTTTCTGAAAAAATGGAAAAGAATGATTAATAATAACAAAATCATTAATATTTTATATATTATATATATCAAGGTACACTATCATCCATAGGGATGTGAAAATTACAAATATTTCGGTGGATGACAAGTGAGTGGCAAAGGTTTTTGATTTGGATATTTGGATCCAGAGTACTTTAGAAGACAACAAGTAAAAGAAAAGTGTGATGTCTACTCTTTGGGGTTGTCCTATTTGAAGTATTGTCTGGAATGTCAGCTCTAAATGCTAGGACATACAACATGTGGGTTAAGGGGAGGTAGAGTGTTCGCAAACTTTACCCTTCCGAGTATAACAAATCAAAGTAGGTATGAAAAAGAAATACAGCATGACAAGAACTTAATATCTACCAGGAACCTTAATTAACTTGGATATCATTAGCTATTGATCAAAATTTAATCTTGATCTTTAAGAAATAACAGAAAGGAAAATCATACCATAGAAAACAAATCAAACAGGGCAACCAGTATATTCTTTTTAATAGACTATCTCCACAATATTGGGAAGTTAATTCATCTAAAATAAAAGGGCAGGAACAAACTAGGAATAAGATCAATCCTTATTAAAACTGAACCTTTACTTCACTCTATTGATTGACTACAGTAGAACCATGAGAACTTTTTGAACCTAAAACCAATTGTTTATATACGATATTATTTAGCAATAAGCAAAAAAGCAAGTAAACACAGGAGTAACTAAAACATGGTATAAAGTAGGCAGATCTGCAACTTTCACATATCCAGATTCATCCCATAATATGTTTGCGATTTCACTCAGAAATTAAAAGCTTTCCAGACATTGAACAGGCTTACTTCAGTCATCAATAAACAAACAAAGCATGAGACCGTGAAACAGCTAGAAAGACTTAACAGAATCAGTCTTCAGGTCTCAATCAATTATTGCGTCAGGATCATGCTTCAGGTCTCAATGAATTATTGCATCAGGTTTATGTTTAGAATCAAGATCGAAACTTTCATAGTTATGGCATTTTTACAGAAGCTAGTGCAATGAAGAAGATGAACAAGGAATAACATAAAAAGCAAATAAGAGACCAGAGACATCATTATCATATCTTATCATTTTGTTTTGGCCCATCTAAAATATCTTTTCTCTGCAAGAAAATCTACACTTTATGTTATCTTTATATATTAATTATAATAATTCTATGTTAAATGTTACCTTCAGTATATAAAGTCATATGAAAGCTGCATTTGGAGAAGACGACTACAAAGACAACGTTACTGAAACTCAAAAGAATTAATCACTTTATTAAATACAAGTATATACATCAACTACGAAAATGGAAAAGAAAAAAAGAAAACACTATCAACCAAAAAGAACCTTTATTTGAAAACAAGTAATAAGATATGAAGATAAATGACAAGAGTAATATTGTATATATACTTACAGCTTGTCTATGACAATAAACTCTTGAATTAGTTTTCCAGTTACAGTCTTTGTTGAAGGACTATTCAATCACATTACTCTAACAAAAGAGAGGGGAAGATGCACAAACAAACCAAAAAAAAAATAAGAAGAAAAAAAGACAATCTTCGCAAAATAACAAGAACAATCCTAAAAACTACAATTAAAACTCCGAAAAAGTAGTAACCATTTTGGAGAAGACGACTACAAAGACAACGTTACTGAAACTCAAAAGAATTAATCACTTTATTAAATACAAGTATATACATCAACTACGAAAATGGAAAACAAAAAAAGAAAACACTATCAACCAAAAAGAACCTTTATTTGAAAACAAGTAATAAGATATGAACATAAATGACAAGAGTGATATTCTGTATATACTTACAGCTTGTCCATGACAATAAACTCTTGAATTCGTTTTCCAGTTGTAGTCTTTGTTGAAGGACTGCTATTAATGACAATGGCGAGCACATCTTGCATTAAACAAAAATAAAGAAAGAATAATTAGATCATGAGAAATATTCTATTATAGTAACAATGGATTTTATGTGAATAATAAGAATAATTAAATAAATTTATAAATACCAAATTCAAATTCTTTGGGTTGATACTCAAAAGTGTCAAATGTGGTAAGAGCTAGTCGTGTTGGTGGTGGTAATGGATCCTGTGGAGGTTTGACCTCTTCAACTGGTTCAACAATGGTGTTTTTATCGAGTGTCCAAATGAATTTGTTAAGTGAATTTTCATATCCAAGAGGTGGTACTTTCACATGTGCAACAGATACCAAGTAAGTCTTGAAAGGAGCAAATTCTTTTTCAAAATATGTTATATCAGTACTGTAAATAGTGGCCTGAACTTGATTCTCCTGTAAAAGAATTTGTAAAAAGTTTGATTAGTTGTGTAAAATGTAAAAGTTATTTTATTATTTTTCATATTACTAAAGTTAGAGATTCTTTTTCAGAAGTAAAAGGAATAATGAGGGAATGAGGAATTTCAATTTTTCCATGGTCATTTGTTTTTTCCTTTCCATCACCAATTCTCATTAAATATTCACAAAATTCAGGATCTTTAGTTGCACGCATATTCTTCGATAACTGTAATTTTTCAAGTTGATTCCAAATTTCAGAACACAATAAACTTTCACGAATAAAATCTTCTTTTTTTCCACTACGAACAACAGGAAGAGTTTGTCTGAAATCACCACTAAAAACAACTATTTTACCACCAAATAACGTATTTGTTTCCATTAGATCTCTTAAAAGCAAGTCAAATGCTTCAACCATTTTCTTTTTTGCCATTGAAATTTCATCCCACACAATTAATCGTGCATCTCGTATTAAAGATGCTAGTGAACTTTGTTTACTAATATTGCAAGTAAAATTTTCATTGACATCAATAGGAATTTTAAATCGAGAATGAGCAGTTCGACCTCCGGGAAGAAGTGAAGCTGCAACACCAGAACTTGCAGTTGCTAAAGCTATAAATCCCTTGTGTCTTACTGTAGCTAATAAAGCACGATATAAAAAACTTTTACCAGTTCCACCAGGACCATCAATAAAGAATGCCCCAAATTTATTTGACAATACTCTATCAAGAATAATATTGTAAGCC